TCAATTAATAATAAGTGTGAAGGTTTATGTACAGACTCTCAATTCTAGATCACTGACCTCTTTATTTACCCTTATGCCAATACCACACTGTCTTGATTAGTTTTGTAAGTTTTAAAATGAGGAAGTGTGAGTCGTCTACCTGTTTTTCTTTCTCAAGATTTTTTCAACTATTCAGAGCCCCTTGCAATTCCATATAAATTTGAGGATCAGCCTGTCCATTTCTTCAAAAAGGAAGTTTTGATTTTGATAAGAATTGCACTAATCTGTAGATTATTGGAAGTATTGTCATCTTAACAATGTTAAGTTTTCCAATCCATGAATATGGGAAATATGGGACGTCTTGCCAGTTATTTAATTTAATTCTTTATTTCAATGATATCTTGTAGTTTTCAATGTGCGAGTCTTGCATTTCTTTTGTAAAATTTATTCCAAAATATGTTATCCTTTTTGATGCCATTAAAATGGGATTGTTTAATTCTATTTTCAGATTGTTCATTGCTAGTAGAGATAGGATTGATTTTTGTATATCGATCTTGAATACAGAAACTTTGCTGAACTCATCTCTACTAGTTTTAATAGTTTTTAGTGGATCCTTCAGGATTTTCTATATACAAGAGCATAGCATCTGCAAACACAGTTTAAATTCTTTCTTCCCACCTAGATCCTTTTTTATTTCTTTTTCTTGCTTAACACCACACTGCTAGAACCTCCAGTATAATGTTCAACAGAGGTGACAAGTGCAAACATCCTTGCCTTGTTCCTGATCTTAGAGGAAAAATATCTAGTATTTCACCACTAAGTATGATGTTACTGTGAGCTTTTCATGGATACCCTTTATCAAGTTATATAATTAGCTTGGTATGTGATTCCCATGACTAGTTAGTTTCATTTGCTAGCCATCACATACCTCAGGAGCTGTTGGAAGCTTTGTTGGTGTCATCAGAGTTTCAGATGACAACTTCCCCTATTATATCTGTATAATATATCACCACCAGAATAATCATATTCTAGCATTTAATAGACCACCAGGCAAATATGTTCTCTTTGATAGCTGGTAAAGCTAAAATAGCTTAGGCTAAATATCAGAAAACCTACCATGCTCTTATTTGGAAAGGTACCTGCCCTGGCTTAGCATTAATTATCCCTCTATAACACGGAGGGAAATTGCCTTTACTTTGACTTTCTAACCACTTAAATAACTGGCAAATGAGAACAAATGGATATGAAAAGGCATGGGATCTTAGAGTGCTGTGTGGCTCTGAGGGGATGTTGATGAGGAAGACAGACCAGGTAGAAAATACAGAGGTCCAGTTGGCCCCAGCCTGGAGCTGTGCTCTTGATTTATGGTTTTCATATTCCGGCTGCAGCATGCACATGACCAATATCTCCATGAACTGAAACGGGACATCAAGTATGAGAAAGGATGCCTAGAACAGGCAATGTTCTCAGGGGCAGAGGAGAGTATAACAAGATAATAATCAGAAAAGGGGAGAGAGGGCTCCCCTTTACCTTTACCCCACAGCTTCCATTGCAATGTGCCATGAGGCCATGGGTTAAAAGGAAAGGGGAGCGGGGGCACTTCTTCTTTGACTCAGGACACGGAGGGTGCCTGACTCCGGGTGCACAGAAAGGGAAGCGGAGAAAAACGGTGCCTGTCCCTCCAGCCAGACTGTCTCAGGGTGACCACATGCTGCTCAGCTGCCAAGGCGATTGACCTTGTGAGCCTTAAATTTACCAAGAGCTTTCTTGACTTTGGTGTTTCCTGGAATGAACCCTCTCTTTGGGGTGATTATCCATGATGGGACCCAAATGTAGCATTTTCTACTAAGTGATTTGATGATAAAATGATAACCTCAAGTTATAACTGAAAAAATATTTTTAAGAGTAAATCTGGAAGTTGTCAGGGACATGACACTCCAGTTACAACACTCACAGCTGCCTTGTTTAACAAAGGGAGCCGGGGGCGCCTGGCTGGCTCAGTGGGTTAAACGACAGGCTCTTGATTTCAGCCTAGGTCATGATCTCAGGGTCGTGAGATAGAGCCCTGTATCAGGCTCTGTGCTGAGTGTGGAGCTTGCTTAAGACTCTCTCTCTCCCTCTGCCTCTGACCCTGCCCTCTGCTCTCTCTCAAAAAAAAACAATCAATTAATTAATTAATTAAAATAAATTAAAAATGGAGCCAGGGGACTTCTTCAAACGATGACCAAAAGTGAAATGTATAAGGGTCTTGGCACAGTAACAGCTAACAGCCTCAGAGAAGAGATACTCACTTTCCCTAGTCGGCCATCCTTGGTGCACCAGGACCCAGCTGGCAATGTCCCTGCGACAGCCCTGGGGATAAAGGCACCAGCGGGATGCATGATGGGACACGTATTGGCTGGTAGCCTCACCCTGGACCTTACTAGATACAGTCCAAAGTAAAGCATCCCTCTGTGTCTGTGAGTGTGCAGCAAAGTAAAAACACACCAAAAAAAAACAAAAAACAAAAAAACCCAAACTCATTTTGTTGATCTCTGAACCTGAGTTAGCAGAGCAATCTTGCTACAAAGTAGATGGTCTTTGCTGTAAAGGAGGAGGCTCCCGGGAAGTTATTTGGAAAGAGCAAAAGGAAGAGAGCTACAAGATGTTGTCTAGGAAATCAAAGGGAATGTGGATGTGGAGGAAGCCAACGATGACAGTGGATGCTTTTTAGGGGAGGGGAGGAGGAATGAGGGCAGAGTCACACGGACCCCTTAGGAGAAATGCATTCAGTGAGAAATTCCCAGAGGCATGAGGTGGCTGAATACTTTGAAAAACAAGGCTGGCGTACATTCAGTTTTATTTGTTTACTATCTGCTACTGGCATTTTACTACCTGCCCCCCAGCCTCTCAAACCTTTAAGGGTCAGCTAAACTCCTATTTACTTTTGAGGTGGTCCAGGGAACACAGATATGGGCAGCAAAGATTCCCATCTCCATTTAGGGACATGATCCCAGGCAGCAGTGTCCAGAAGAGAGGTCAGAAATCCTGCAAGGCCCTAAAGTCACCAGCTGCAAAAAACTGTGGGAGAGCATGGAGGAGCGAGCTCCAGCTGGTGGGATAGGCCAATGCTGATGGACAGGGACAAAGATGGTTGGAGGGGCTAAGGCAGGTGGTGGTGGGAGTCAGTGATGGTGGGAGGGGCTGGGGCTGGTGGGAGAAGCACCTGCCAATGGACTGGCCAGGAGCAGTTTTAAGGTCAATCTTATTTGTCTCCACACAGAAGGAAGTAGGTGGGGCACAGGAAACCTACCGAAGTAACCTTTCATAAGTGTCATTCAAGCAATGAAGATGGAGAATCGATTCAAACGAGAGCAGAAAACTGGGAAAATTGGTGCCAGTCTCAGGGTTGAGAGGCTGCCAGTAGGGCAGAATTTGCTCAGAATTCGGAGGCAACACAAATCGAACGTGAATCTTACTTCTGTCGCCTGTGAGCTGAGTGATCTTGAGCAGAACAGACCTTCACTGGACCCCAATCTCCTTACCCCAGAAGTGGAAAGTAAGAATAATGATGTTGCTGGTAATCTTATCCCCTCATCCCCTTCCCAGGGGGAGAAGCCAGCTTCCCCTTTGCCATGGCCGTCCGCAGCATTAAGAGAGCCAGAGGGTCTGAATTAAGGAGGTCCTGTCTGAGGGGGCATGGGCTACCTCTGGAGTCCAGTGCGCTCCTGGAGGGCCCCGGCTCCTCTCTCGGCTCGTGGCTGCCAGGAGCCCTTTATCAGGCTGTGTGGACAATGCCCCCGCACTCTCCAGCACCAAGCAGGCCAGTATCTCTGGGACAGCAGCTCAGAAGGAGGTATGCGGTGGATTCCAACACAAACAGGGACTATGTCCCTTTTTAAACAACCTGTTTGGAAACATAGGAAATGGACAGAGGGATAGGGGAGGTACAAAGACCAATCCCTGTAAGAATACGACACAGCAGGTACCAATGATTATGTCCTGGAATGCATGAAAGGAGGTTCTGGGATATATCCTGGACTCTCAGCATTCCCTGAATTATCTATGGAGCCAGGATTGGACAAAGGTATTTTGGGGTTAGAAGAGGCTCTGTAAATCCGGGTGTAAAAGGACCAAGGTCTGGACAAGCCCTCATGGCAGACGTGCATTTTCCTGAATCAGTCCATGTTCCGGAACCCAAATGTTACTGTGTCAGTCTTCCATTTAAAGCCTTCTGTGGTACTCATTTCACAGCTTAATGATGACCATTTCCTCAGCTGATGTTCTAGACCTTCTTGGTTCAATCTTTCCTGCCCCTCCCCCTTCCTTCCGCTCCTGGCATTCTCAGGTCCTCTCGTACTTCCCAAAGGAGCTGAGGCCGGTACGGCAGCTTGCCTCACTGCCAAGAAAACTCAGGCTCGTCCTTCACCGCCTTGTGTGTGTTTGTTTTTTTCCTGTCCTGCCTCCAGATTATGACAGTGTTTACTGTCTTTACTGTGCCAGGCACTTTCTGAGCATTTTATGTGCTGAAATGTATTCCCATTTCATCCTACAAACAAATCGTCCACATTAAAAACCAAGAAATTAAGGAATTGGCCTAAAGTCAAACAGCCAGTAAGTGGCAGAGCCAAGACCATCCAGATTCATCCACATGCCCTCCAGCATTGTTTTAAAGTTTGGAAAAATTCAGAAATCTTTTTAAGCAAATTGTAGAGACTAAATTGAGGGAGCTATGCAGTGCAGGGAATGTGTGCAAGCTTTTTTGCCATGTGACTTTGAACCTGAGCCTCAGTTTCTTCCATCATAAAATGGGGATAATCCTTTCGAACCACAACACTTTTGTATGGATTAGATAAGCTAATGTAAGTAGGTCCTTAACAACCCTCCTGGTCAGGGCTGGAACACGGGTGAGGCCAGCCACGCACGGCCCTGCCAAGGGCCCAACATTTAAGAAGGTGCAGACTCTGAGGAGCCGACCTCCAACCAGAACGACGTTGAGCATGAACACTTATGCCCTCCTTTACCCTCCTTTACCCTCGTACCTTCCGGCACTTGGGCGGCGAGGAATCATTACCAGTCCCTCTCCATCTTCTTAATCCAGCTGAGTTTTCTTCTAGCCACGTGAGGCGCTATTTCCACGAATCATCTGTCTTACCTGTAATCATACACACCTCAGTATTATGACTGTTCTTATTAGGAACGCCCCCCTCCCCGGACTATTTTCAAATCTTCACACAGTTTCCACGCACAGTGGGAGTGATTTGCTGTGAGTCTGGTTATCCAGTTGTCTGCAGAAGCTCCAAGGGGGCCCTTGGGCAAATGCAGTCACGTGCACAGTCTGTCCAGGAAACACGCTATCCTTTCCACTTCTAGAACCGTTTCAGCTTTCCCCAGACACCAGGGTCCTTCCCAAGGCTTTGGCAGAAACCTCACTGGGCTACAGATGCCATACTCCTGCCCTAGGCCCTGTACTGAGACTGAGACCTTTGACTCCCTTGTCACTGTTGGACAGGCAGGTGGCTCGGGGCCACATCTGCAGGACTGGCCAGGTCCTGATTACCAGGAAGCTGCTTCTTGACGTGTGGGGAGAGTGGAATTTGCTGCAGGGCGGGGCTATAATGGAGTGGCCACTGGCTGCTTGGTGGGGAAGGCCGGGCAGAGAGGAGCGCCGGATGCCCTACGAGTTTCTGAAATGTTGATTGTGAAATAATCCTGACAAGGGACTGGGGAAACTGAGTCATGTGGATAAGGCTCTCTTCTGATTTGGGGGGAAATATTTCCTTGGGCATTTCTCCCCTTGTTGCCTTCCTTGCCTTGAAAACAACACAGCGGAGGTCAAGTCCTCTCGATCAGCACCCTCCGTGACGGCAGAGCATGGGCTGCACGCTGAGCCCTGTCCATCACGTGCAATTGTCTAGTCGCCACATCAAGCAGAGTAAAAGCAGATGAGATGGATGTTTATGATGTATTTGTTTTTTTTTTTTAAGATTTATTTATTTATTTGAGAGAGCGAGAATGAGAGAGAGAGAGTACATGAGAGGGGGGAGGGTCAGAGGGAGAAGCAGGCTCCTCGCTGAGCAGGGAGCCCGATGTGGGGGTTCGATCCCAGGACCCTGGGATCATGACCTGAGCTGAAGGCAGACACTTAATGACTAAGCCACCCAGGCACCTCTATTTTTTTTTTTTAAGATTTTATTTATTTGCGAGAGAGAGAATGAGAGACAGAGAGCACGAGAGGGAGGAGGATCAGAGGGAGAAGCAGACTCCCTGCTGAGCAGGGAGCCCGATGCGGGACTCGATCCCGGGACTCCGGGATCATGACCTGAGCCGAAGGCAGTCGCCTAACCAACTGAGCCACCCAGGCGCCCTATGACGTATTTGTTTTAACTCAATATATCCAAACTATCATTTCTACATATTATCAATATAAAAGATTACGAATGAGATGGCTTCCACTTACACAAAATGCACTGTGCATTTCACACTTGCAGCACATTTGAATTTGGACTGGCCACATGTCAAGGACTCTGTGGCCACTAGTGGCCCCCACGTGGGACATTGAACTAGCTCTAGACTCTCTGTGTCCACTCAGGATCACCGTGCTGAAGTCCTGGCAGAAGAACGTCATGGATGCAGACAGACCGGGCTGTTCAGCTGTCACCTAATGGTGCGTTCATCTCAGTAAGAGATTTGAGGGCAACAGACCTCAGTCTTTCCCACCTATAAATGAGAATGGCATATCTACCTCATAGGTTTATTATAAGAATGAAGAAAATTGCTGAATTCAAAGTCACAAACACATAGTCAAAAGTGCTCATTAGTATTACAGTACTAGTAGTAATAGGGGCACTATTATAAGCATCAAGTTACAGGCGTCAGAGACAATGGGTCTATATTGCGAGTGATCATCTACATACATTGTAGAAGAGTTAGGAGGGATGTCCCAGCCATTCGTCGTATAAGCAATAAAGCTGAGGCCCAGAGAGAAATAGCAATTCTCCAATGTCACACAGCAGAACAGAGCGAACTCTTGATTTCTGGTCACAGATTCTCACACACATTTCCGCCTCTCCACAGTCACATCTTAGGCCTCAACCATCACTTTAAGATATTTTAAAGTGAGATAAAGTTCTGACTTTTTTGTGCATATATTATAATATAGTATATATTATAAAATATATATAAAATAGTAACTGTCTTGCATAAGGTCCTTGTCATACATCTCATACACATAACACGTATTTGGGCACAGACCAAAGAGATGGGTGTTAAGTTGTATTAAAAACCAAAGGTTTAAGAATGAATAATAGTGTGAAATCAGTGCAGGACAATTTATGACTAATATCAGGAAGTCCTTGTTAAGAATGCCATTTATTATTAGACTAAAATAGCCTCCCCAGGGAACCAGGGAGGCGCTAAGACTTGAGACATTTCAGCCAAGACAAGGCACTGCTAAGCACGGGAGAGAAACAAAGCACCCTCCTCCCAGGGGATGCTCCCAGGGAACAAAGCTTCAGTGCTAGCCTGCTTTCTGGGTCAAGGGCATAAAACAGAAGTTTGAACCAGAATCGACCATGCCTCTGTATGCAGCGGCGGGACCTCAGTGTCCGGCCTGGCCAGCCGAGCACTAAGCTAGCTCCTAATAGGGGCCACTTAAAAGAAATACGTCAAAACCCCACAGCAGAGCAAGGAAACATGAATGCACTTACTCGGCTGCACATAGGGATGTGGTGGGCTCAGTGTCTCTGGGTTTTTATGAGGCATGTGACAAGGTGACATGTGGAAGCTTTTTGATCAATCTAAAGACGACAGGACAAGATCCTCATGGGCTCCTCATAAAAGCCTTGGTAGTTGATTGAACCATCTTTCACAAAGGGGTGTGATGAATGTGGACCCAAAGGAGCTCTCTAGGAGCTGCGTGGCCTCTTTAAATAATTAAGATGGATCATGGTAGTCAGAAGCACTAAGACATAGAAAGGTTACCTGCCAAACTCATCAAATTGATCTGGAAGGTGTAACAGATATACTGGATATATAAAACTAATCCACATCTCAAATGATCTTTGGACATGAGAATTATGGACATAATAAACCAGGAAGAAATTTAATACAGAAATTGTGAAGATGTACCAAGACCAAATGACAGTGGTAACAACTGCCTGGCACATGGTGGGAATTAAATGTTTGTTAGCTACTCTGGAAAACAGTATGAAGGTTCCTCAAAAAGTTAAAAATAGAGCTACCCTATGACCCAGAAACTGCACTATTAGGTATTTATCCAAAGGATTCAAACATAGTGATCCAAGGGGCATATGCAACCCAATATTTTATAGCAGCAATGTCCACATTAGGCAACTTATGGAAAGAGCCCAGATGTCCATCGACAGATGAATGGATAAAGAAGAGGTGGTATATATATATAAAATATATATATATAAAATATATATATAATAGAATATTATTCCACCATAAAAAGAATGCAATCTTGCCATTTGCAACAACGTGGATGGAACTAGAGGATATTATACTAAATGAAGTAAGTCAGTCAGAGAAAGACAAAATACCATATGATTTCACTCATATGTGGAATTTAAGAAACAAAACAGATGAACATAGGGGAAGGGAAGGAGAAATAAAATAAGATGAAATGAGAGAGAGATAAACCGTAAGAGACTCAACTCTAGGAAACTGAGAGTTGCTGGAAGGGAGGTGGGTGGGGGGATGGGGTAACTGGGTGATGGGCATTAAGGAGGACACGTGATGTAATGAACACGGGGTGTTGTGTGCAACTGATGAATCACTAAATTCTACCCCTGAAACTAATAAAAAAAAAAGAAAGAAAAATGTTTGCTGGCTAGATTAATGGGTGGGATTAATTAGCATATATATAAATGAATTAAATTTGAACATAAACTTAAAGTGTATCAGAAGTGCACAGGTTGTGAGGGGCGCCTGGATGGCTCAGTCCACTGAGCATCTGACTCTTGATTTTGTCTCAGGTCATGATCTCAGGGTCATGAGATTGGGCCCGTGTCGGGCTCTGCGCTCAGCGGGAAGTCTGCTGGAGGTTCTCTCTCTCCCTCTGCCCCTCCCCCACCCTCCCCCGTCTTAAAAAAAAAAAAAAAAAAGTGCTCAGGTTGTGATACATCAACTGCTGTGACCCCCCGACCTGTGTGTTCCAGGTCCAGTCACCAGACCCGGGAAGTGACATCCATCTTGGGCACTGGTCAGACTCTACTTACAGGGTGTTTGAGGAGTGGATGGTGTTTGAGGAGTGGATTGTGTCGAGAAGTGAGGGATCCAGCTGCTGAAATGACCTCCCACGGGGATGGCTGGAGGACCTAAGAGGGTTTAGAAAGAGGGGAAGGACTGGGATTAGCTGATGGTTGGGTTCAAACTCCTGAAGGGTGGTCATGAGAAGCAGAAATGTGCTTGCTCAGGGTGGCTTGAGAGGACAGCGTTAGGACAAGTGGAATGAGCAACAAAAGGCAGGTATTGGCTCAGCATAGGGAAGATATTTCCAGTGGTCTGAGTTGACAACAATGGAGCTTCCTGTCCCTGCCGGTGTTCGAGCAGAGGCGGGACAGTTTCTTCCCGTGGTTGGCACAAGGCAAGATGCACGCATCGGGTGATCAGTGGTTTGTGCTCTCCCCAGCTTTGAGTCTTGAGAAAAGCAGCCAGCTTGCTGGCCAGACAGGAGACGCCATGACCAGCAGAGGGCGCTCTTACAGGGGACCGGAGAATGTGAAGGCCTGCAGCTGAGGCCAGTGGGTGAAGTGGCTGGAAGGTGCCATGGGAGAGCTTGGGGCCCACTCAGCTTCTCCCTCTCTCTCTGCCCCCCCTGGCAGGAACGCTGGCTAACCCACAGTCCTTGCACTGCTCACGTTTGCACTTTGTTTGGGGGTTTTCCCTTCCTCCTCTCTTCAGGCCTGCCTTTCCCCTCCCGATGGGGTCCCGTGCACACACCACCCTCCTGGTCTCAGGGTGAGCACCTACAGGCCGTGGGGGGCCCTCTGGGAATCGGCTGCTCAGAAACAAACCTTCTAGGGCTCCTATTGCTGATGGTTGAAGGGAAGCCACTTGGCCCCTGAGGCAGAAAACATCTTTCTGGTACCACCCTCTCTGGTTTCCTTAGTGGCTTTTCACCTTGACACGTCATGAGGTGAAAATTCCTCTGCAGGTTTTCACAGGGCGTGAGCTCGGTTTGCTCAAACCTGGATCGCACTGTTAAGCTCAAGCGTCTTGTTTCCCGTGGATTTAGCCAACTCCACAATCTCAAATGTCTTCCCCACAGGAGAAAAAAGAGATGAAATGAACAGAGCTCCAGACCCAACCTTCCAGGGCCAAGTCTCTGGTCTTTCCCAGTCACACCAGGCAGCCAACTTTTTACAGAGACGTCTGGACCTTTCAGAGCTGAAACGTGGATGCTTCCCTCCGTCCCCAGGCCCGCCATCCCCCATCATGTCGCCACTGGACGAGGGTGCTTGTGCTGATGCTCCCACCTGTGGGCTTTCGTCTGTGGACAGAGCATCCCCCAATGTACCTCATGTCACCCAGAATCATCAGTGAATTGTCCACCGCAGGCATAGTGAGGGCAGCTTTATCTGGGGCCAGGAGGCCACATGGGCGGGTGGAGAGCTGAACCGACTCCACGCACACACACCAGCTCGCAGGAAGCCGACTGGCCGCCCTCCCGCCCTCCTTCCCTCTCTCCCTCCCTCCCTCTCCCGTGCATATAAAACCATATGGACTATTCATCTAAAAGTTCTTTGATTCTTTGTCCCACGTGATGTTTTCAGTGGCTAAACTGTTGATGATTAAAAGAGGCCACAGTTCATTAGACTTTGCTTGTTACAAACTGATTTTATTTCCCTTTCTCTAGGTAGCCAGGCTCCCCCGAGCGGAGCAACACCACAACCCCCGTGTACCTGGGCCACACACACGGTTGTGTGCCATCCCCCCTTAAACTTCCCAATGGCAGACCACGGAAACTAGACAGTGGACCAGAAAAGGGGACATGACAGCCAACGTTGGGGGGAGCCAGGACAGGCCTCCAAAGCAAGCCTCCTGCAGCCTCGGGTGGGGGTGGGACATTCATCAAAATCCAAATTGACCACACGGCTTCCATCCTAACAAGCAAGCTCTGGATGTAACACTCGATTCTCGGAGGGGAAAAAAATAAACAAATCACCCAGCTGCAAAACTATACTTTTTAACAAATTATTAAGTAAACAGTTTGGAAGATTTCTGCCAACGATTTACTGGGAAAAATGAAAAGGACTAGTAGGTTCCAGATTTTTTCTTTTTTTAAAGATTTTATTTATTTGACAGAGAGAGATACAGTGAGAGAGGGAACACAAGCAGCGGGAGTGGGAGAGGGAGAAGCAAGCTTCCCGGGGAGCAGGGAGCCCAATGCGGGGCTCGATCCCAGGACCCTGGGACCATGACCTGAGCCGAAGGCAGACGCTTAACGACTGAGCCACTCAGGCGCCCCCCAGATTTTTTCTTTTTAAAGGCAGAGGACTCTTCCATGTGTTTGTGTTATGAAGACATAACCGAGCTTCGGAGGGCCCAAGGCAAAGCTGTCACTCTGCTTCTCTTTTTCTGCGGTGAGGCCTTCACTCTATGTCACCAGCTATTTCCTATTTCTAGGCTTTAACCGATGACCTTATTGCCAAATGATTGATAGAAACAACATGAGAGCACGCAGATAAAACATCAGATGGGACTCCGCAGCTTTCATAGAGACAACTGTTTAGAGGTCCCAAAATATATCCCCTACTCCTACAGGCCTCAGGAAGGGTTGGGAGCAGGACTTAGCTCGTGCACAGCAAAAGCACTAAAAGTTGATAGATAGCCAAAGTATCAATTGTTGAGATGGTATGAGATGTCTCACGGTCCCCTGGGTGGCGTAGGCGTATTCTCTTTCTCAGAGTGGACTGAAGTCAAACCAGAAGGTTGCTTGCTCTACAAGGCCTGGGGCCAACAGAATCACTCATCCCATGCACGCCTAGGACACGCTGCCCGCTGGATGGGCCCTGTGTGTGGTTCTGGCTCAGAGGCAGATAGGCTGATGATGGGAAATGCTGGGCAAATAGCAGAGGTATAAACAGAAGACTGTATCACCACCCAGCAATGATGGTTAATGGGCTAAAGGCCCTTGTGAGCCACCACCTGGGGTGACAATATCTAGCAGTGGTTACTTTCTTTTTAATATTATTTTACTGATGCAGGCAATAGACACTGGATGTGTTTGGACAGAAAAAAAAACCATTTTAAAAGATATATTAACCATGTCTTTAGTTTTTCCTTATGCTGATGCATGGACATCTTTGGGCCTTGGTGGCCTGGAGGGCCTGCCCCTCCTAGGGTTAGGGACTTCCTAGAGATAGCATATAACTTGCCTTTGAACGTGTGGTCGAATGCAAACCAACAGAATGCAGTGCAGATGCAAAATTCCTAGCCCACATCCCCTTCCCACTCCCTTCAACAGCTCTCATCCTCTGGACCACTACCCACTTGCCCTGATCACTCCAGGGCCAGGTACTAGACAACTGGGGACAGTCCTTATGCCCACAGCCTGCTGAAATTATTCAACCTGGCCAATCCTTCTGACAGAAACCACAAGAAATGCTCCTACCCCCTTTTCCCCTCCACTTCTTCTTCCTCATCAACCCTGGCGCCACACTGTGTGGCCCTATGTGGATGTCCTCTCCTCTGGGAACTGTGAGTAACAAACTGTCCTGTCAATGGCAGTCATCCTTGATCTGTTGGCCTTACTCTACCTAAATAATATTAAAACAGATATTTTAAAAACAAAGAGTTGTGAGCAATGATTTTCCTGGGAGTCAAAAATGGCAAGCGTAGTATTTACAATATCCTGAGGGATTTCTCCTCAAAATGCTCTTTGTGAGAAGACAGGACATATCTCTGTCCTAGAAGTACAACAAATTGGTTCTAGGTCATTTTTTAAATTAAAGTAATACACATCCATAATTAACAAATCAAGTATTAAGAAGGGCTTATAATACAAAGTGGCCAGAAGTACAGCAAATTGGTTCTAGGTCATTTTTTAAATTAAAGTAATACACATCCATAATTAACAAATCAAGTATTAAGAAGGGCTTATAGGGGGCGCCTGGGTGGCTCAGTTGGTTAAGCGACTGCCTTCGGCTCAGGTCATGATCCTGGAGTCCTGGGATCGAGTCCTGCATCGGGCTCCCAGCTCAGCGGCAAGCCTGCTTCTCCCTCTGACCTTCTCCCCTCTCATGCTGTTTCTCTCTCTCTCGCTCTCTAATACATAAATAAATAAAATCTTTAAAAAAAAAAAAAAAAGAAGGGCTTATAATACAAAGTGGCCAATTCTCACCAGACCCCTCCATAGCCCAGAACCAACCAGCAGAGATGTTTCACTTGCCCTTGGTAATTGTTCTGAGGGCACCCCTGTAGCCCTATGTAACAGGCTTCACCTCTGCTGGTCTCGATCCATCTTTGTGCCTTGTCCATCTGCCCCTGCACACTCTGCTGGGGACCTACGGGGTTTTCTTCCCTCACTAGCTACCCCTTCCATCCTCTGCTCCTTGAACGTGTAGCGTTACATCATTACTTCTTGTGCTTCTGCTGGTAATATCGTACCTTTAACACACGCACCCTTTAGCTTCTGGCTCTGCTTACTTTTCACAGACTCTGTTTCCACTGCACTTTGTACACTGAGGGTATTAGTTTCCACATTTCTTCTCCCTCTCCCTGCTCTTCATGTCAGCTCAGCCATCCTGCCTTCTGTGGGCTGTGCCTGAACTGGTACCAACTCATTCCCAGCCGGTATCCGTGTGCGGCAACGGCCAGACCAGGAGGTCTCAAGGAGGGAAAGGGGGTGATTTGTGCTAGTGACTCTCCGCTCTCCTGAGCCAGCCAGCCGATCTCCTGAAGCCTCCGAGGCCTCACGCGATTTCTTTTAGAAGTTTAAAATGAGCTGAAGTGGGATCAAGTGAGACCCCGAGGGTGAAACAAGGTATAAGCCCCTCCACCCCCGCCCCGTGCTGTCCACATGGAGATGGGGGATTATTGTCGTCCGTCCTCCAGGGTGTGCAGTGACTGGGTGGACGACCCTCTTGTCCCTGGGCATCTCCTAGCACTTCGGGGCATGGATTGATGTCCTCTGGGCCTCTGGTTGAGAAGGGAACCCTTTCCAGGGGTCCCTTCCATGTCAAATCCCACCACCCCAGTCTCGTAAGTGCTCTTGCTCTCGCGGTTTCTGATGTGTCTATTTGAACTCCAGTCCTGTTTCGTGACTTTTAAAGGGGCAGAGGGAGTTATTTCATCATTATCCACCCCTCTGGGG